AGATTTCTTTCTAAAAATAAACAAAAATTTATTTAAATAAATGAGAAACTTTTTCTACTTGTTCAAATTTTTCTTCTTGTTGTTGAATAATTGGTGATTCAGTTTGAATTTGTTCTGGAGAATGAATTGGTGATGGTGGATGAATTTCAATATTTATTGGTTCTAGAAAATTAGTCGTGATAACTGATGTATCAGTTTTTGATGTTTCATTTTGTATTAAATCTAATACAGATTGATTTTCATTAATATGATTGCTTGTTACATCATTTTTTTCTGGTTCATCAATTGATTTTTGATTTATTTCTATTGTTGGATGTAAATCTTCATGTAAATTATTGGTTGATGTCGAAATAATATTTGTCATTGAAGGAGGTGGAGGAGGATCTAAACCTAAGAAAATACAACAAAAAAGTTGTTCAAAGTCTTCTCGAAAAAAAAAAATGATAGTTCGAAATCTGATCTTTAACAAATGACATGTTTTTCCAAAAATCTCTGTCAACCTTCATTCTATATATTCAAATTTTTCTTTTTGTTTGAAAGAGTATGCTAATAGGCACAACACAATAGAACTTCTTTTTTGAATTAAGCTTTTTGTCTATTATATAAACGAGTACTTTTATAATTGGAGCGACATTTTTTTAGATTTTTTCGAGACATTGATCATGGATATATAAAAACTTTGGAGAAAACTGACTTACAAAATAACAACGAAAAGAAAATCTCTTGTCTTTCTTCATGATCTGATGATGCTCTATTTTCGTATACATGCCTGATGTTATCAATTTACTGTACTCAGTGTTCCTACGTATACCTAAAAGGACATAATTTAATTAAATATTACGAATGCATAATGTAACAATGAATCTCACTAGGGGTCCAGACTAATCTTAGGTGTGCCACAAGCGTTCACATATACTTTTGAAACAGTCTACTCATATAAATAATAGTTGGGCGTAACTGTTAAACATTATCAATATACTCTACTAGTCTTCATTAAAGCAGATTTGCAAGATAAGCGATTTCATCTAATACTATGTACTTACAACAGTGTGATGAAATTAGCTGAGGTTCACGCAGACCTTAAGTTGTCGTGTCAAGGTTTAAAAATAAAAATTACAAAGAAAAAAAAAGAGCTTTGTCATGTACTGCATTCTGACATGTTCTTTCAAATAAAAAAAAAAGAATTAAGTATATAGACTGAAGATCTACAGAGAATTGTTAGTCGTAAAATGAACTATTCCTGAGCTTAGTTTGTTGAATGATTTGAATATATCTGAGCCAAAATCAATTTTTGAAAGGGCATAGGTGATTTTAAGAAAAGAAAAAAAAAATCTTCTAATCCACCTGGTCGAGTGATATTATTTGTTAGATTTTGTTTTTGTTCTATTTGATCAATTTCATCTTTTGTTTGAACTGAATTTATTGAAGCAACAATTGGAGCTTTTCGTTTTTTCTTTGTATTTTCTGATTGAAGTGATTCATGACTTTGATGATGTTCAATATGGAATGGTAAGGAATGTAAATGAATATTATTTGATGTTTGTTCTTGTTGTTGAATATAAATAATTTGTGAATCAGGTCTTTTAGAATTCATAAAACCAGGTGGTCTTGGTGCAGGACGTTTTTTTACTATTGATGAACAATTTGATAATTGTGATTGTGTATCAAAATTAGGATCATTCCAATAAGCATGTAATGTTGTATGGGATGGACGTAATGTTGATGAACGACTTGTATTTGAACGATTAATTTGTTTTGTATTTATTAATTGTTGTTCATTTTGTTGTTGTTGTTGTTGTTGTATATATTGAAAATTTTCTCTTGGTGGTTGACTTTCTGAACGTATACGATAAAGACGATCAAATGTTTGAATTTGATTTGTATTAAATTGTTGTTCAAATTCAAAATCTTTATTATGTATTAATGTAAGTTCATTTGTTTTATATTCAGCTAATGATAACCCAAGTAATAATGGTTGATCAAGTTTATTTGGTAAACGTAATGTATATTGATTTGAATTTGTATATTTTTTTTGTTTACATATTTGTTCTTTTATTTCATATAATGGTAATATTGGATCGATACGTAATAGAATTTTTTGTGCATCAGGTAAATTAACTTGTAAACGAACTGTAATCTAAATTTTATTTTTTTTTTGTTGAGAGAAAAGAAAATTTAATAGAAAAATATTTATGAACATACTTCAAATGGTTGAGCTTTAGGTTTTGATGATGAATTTGAATGTGTTGATTCTTTTGGTAGGAGACTAATCGTTGATGAACCTTAAATAAGAAAGAATTTTCTTAGTTTTTTTCTTTTTTTTGTTTTTGTATTCAATTATCAAATAAATCACAATTAATGAATGAAGCAACAAATATAAGACAAAGAAAGAGAACAGCAATGTATAAATTACCGTTTATTTGTGGTAAATGACAATTTGTCACTGCAAAAAATAGGGAAGATTTGTGTTTTGTTTTTCGTTATTTTTAATTATATATTTATTTAAATTAATTTTAATTCAAAAATATTTTCAAATACATACCAATTTGTCCAACTGTTTGATTAGCTTTGAAATGTATAACATGTTGATTTGAATCAAGTACAACAAGTGAATAACTACTTGGATTTAATTTATTTAATGATGCTGCTTGTACAAGTAAATCCATCATTGGAGTACTAATAGAAACAATTGATATATATGTGTGTAGATAAAAATGTACGTCATTACTTTGCGTCAACATTGATTATCGATGGAACACCATTTGGTAAGATAAGTGTTAATTGTATTTTGCTTGTTTCTTCTGGTATATGTTGTTCATGATAAAAGGTTTGATGACCATGACCATGATGATGATGATGATGAACGGAACTCTGTTCTACTATTGGCATCATCAAATATCGAAGAGATTCAAATAATTTTTAGTATAATTAAAGAAGAAAAAAAAAGAAATCTACAAAAATATGAATTAATGGTTAGTAAAAATTTATATTTCTTATGGGATACCATCACATTCTTTTTTTTTTCTTGTGTTTTTTTTAGAACCTGATAATATTTTATCCTTCCCACGAATACTTGACTCAATTGAAGAATAATACGTGAAGAACATACAAAATCACTGGTAATGCTATTGCTACTGCTTCTGTTGTTAATATTACTATTGACATAGTCCAATTCAACTAGCTTGTAGTAGTAATGCCGACGGTGTAACATGTTTCTCTCTTCTTCTATTCCCTCTCTCTCTCTCTTTCTGTCCACATACACATGCATAGACAATAAAGAAATCGAAAATAGTCGACCTCTCCATGTCTTTACTTACTTTATCCTATGTACATTTTCGTTCTTATTCACACAAACCACAACAAAAACATTGAACTATATATGAATAAATTGAATCAATATTCGAATTGCCTAATAACACTGTAAGGCTTATATCAACGTGTTGTTATTTCTAGATGGTTAAAGACGAAATAAAATGAATGGCCCTGAACATACTCTTTACATTTATTTCCTTTTATATTTTATTTGTTCTTCTACTTATGTATTTTATTTATTACTTTCAGTGCTTTTTCGTCCTTTTCGTCCTCGAAAAGATGTACAACACATATATATATGTGTGTGTATGTGTCTATATGTCGAATTTTGAGGCCATGAAGAGATACACTTACCTAGAAATACACATATATGTATACTTTCTCTTTTGGTAATGACGTCACAAAATGTTTACATAATTTGATCATCACTTTTCACATAGTCGATACTCACATCAATGGTTTAACTAATACAATACAATAATATCTTCTTTTGTGAATGTGTCTCATTTCTCTTAGGATTAAACTACAGTTTATGTATTCTCAATTCTTGTGAATAATAACTATAATATGAAGAAGAAAAAAAAGAAACAGAAGAAGAAAACGATGAAAAAAAATACCAATAACAGCTGTTACGCCTATTTATCGCAAACCGTAGACGATAGAATGTCTGAAAAGTTATTAATAAAGAATAATGTATTAGTCTTTTCTTTTTTTTTGACCGATAGTCAATCGTGACAAAAGAAAAACGTACGCATAACCTAAAACAAAGAATTGAATGAATAAAAAAAACAGCAAGTAAAGAGAAAATTTACTCTATAAAAGTTCAATGATGCAAGCAACTGAACATTACTTACCGTAAATTGTTCAGTAGATTTTTGTTTTTTTTTTACTTTGTTACGATTACTTTCCTCCCTTTTTCTCTACCTCTCTCTTCTTAGTAATGAACGCAAGGGACAATGAGAATAAATACGAAGGATCCAGTTGCGTATGTGTGTATGTGTAATCAGTTGAAAAGACACGAGAAAGAAATCGAGAGAGAAGAGAGAGAGAGAGAGAGAAAAAAAGTTGCACTAGTGCTATTATACTTTTACTACTACTACGGTGACGGCGACGGCCATCATCATAACAACGCATACGACCGTCACCGTTGTTAGAGAAGGGATAAAAAAATTTATACGGTGGTAGTCAGTCGTCAAAAATTGATCTCTCATCTGTCTCTAACACTAAATGTACACCACACCCATGAGATTAAATCTTTGTGTTCCGTTCTTCACTGGTCGTTCGTGTCGATAAAGCATCATAAATATGACAAGGGAAAAAAAAGAAAGACGAGCAATGACAATGATATATCTATGTACATCATGCAACTATTAGAATCTAATTGAAGACGGATTTTATTGACAACATATGAGATATAAGGATACAGATGTATTAAGAGCTATTTTTGTTATTTTGAATACCCTAGGAAATTAGAATTAAGTCTCTATAAATAACATGTGCATGCATATAAATTGTGTTGTGTTTTTTAAAAACATAAGAAACACCAAAAGTATGATAAAAATCACGAAGAAAATGTCAATGAAAAGAAAAATCTACAAAGTAAAAAAAAAACTACGCAGATTAAGATAAAATAAAAAAGAAACAAGAATAAGATAATCTAAAGGTTATAATCAATTTCAAAACTAAGGTTAAAGTTTAGGATCATCAATATAATTAGTAATAACATCATGAAATTTTTGCGCAATTTCATCGACATTGTTTAGTGTTATTGCACAAACATTTATACGCCCATCACTCATTACATATACGTGATGTTGCTGGATTAATGCTTGACACTGACGTGGATTCAGACCAGTATAAGCAAACATACCTTATAAAAAAACAAGGAAAAAATTCATTTAATATTTCATTGATTAAATAAACGTACCTGTTTGCTGAATAATATGCTCCCATGTACCGGGTATATTTAATTGTTTTAATTTACTATAAAATAATTGTCTCATTGAATGTATACGTTCATACATACTTCGTACATTAGTTTTCCATTCATTATATAAAGTTGGATTATTTAAAATTGTAGCAACAATATATGCACCATGTACCGGTGGATTTGAATAATTTCGTCGAATAATTGTTGCCATTTGTGTACGATATTTAGGTATAATATCACATGATTTAAATACACTAACTAAATGACCAATACGTTCATTATATAAACCGAAATTTTTAGCAAATGATTGAGCAATAAATAATTCATGTTTAGCTTCATCTACAAAGTAACGTATTGCCCATGCATCTGCATCAAGATCACCACTTGAAAAACCTTGATAAGCTATATCAAAAAATGGAATTAATTGACGAGATTTACATGCTTCTGATATACGCTTCCATTGTTCATGTGTAGGATCACAACCTGTAGGATTATGCTAATAAAAAAAGTAATTATTAAACAATTTTTATGTTGTTGTTTTATAACTATTTACAGAACAAGCATGAAGTATAATGACAGATTTTTCTGGTGCAGATTCAAGATCAGCAATAAAACCATCAATATCAAGAGTAAGTTTTTCTTTACTCCAATATCTATATTTTCTTATTTCAAATCCAACTGTTTGTAAAATAGATTCATGATTACCTTAAAAAAGGAAAGTAATTATTCAAATTTTCTTTCTTTGTGTAAAATTTAATTGTTACCCCATGTAGGTGTCGAAACATATGCCATACGAAAACCATTTCGATAGAGAAAATCTAAACCAATACGAAGTGCACCTGTACCACTTAATGATTGTATTGAACAAGCACGATTTTCTATTATAGCTAATGATTGTTCACCAAGTATAAGTTTAAGACATGCTGTACAAAAAGTATCTAGTCCAGTTACTTTTAAATAATTTTTGGTTAAACTTAAATCATTAGCCATTAGTTGTTCAACTGAGCGAACCAAAGGTAATGTTAATGTTTTACCATTTTCATCTTGATAAACTCCAATAGTTAAATTAACTTTTGATGGATTCGTATCTTGATTAAAAAGTTCTGTTAGATAAAACACTTCAATATGTGGATCTATTGATATATGACGAAATAAACTCATAATAATTCTTATTAGTTTTTTTCCTATGAAAAACCAAACTAATAAAAAACTTTTATATAGATATATATATATGTATATTTTTTAACCTTCTTTTTTTGTCTTATTTTTCAAACAAACAAATACTGTTCATAGATAGATAACAACACCTGCTGTCATTGACATTCATACAGAAAAAAAAAGAACCGATGGCGAGACACTATTTAGATAATATTGTCATCTACAAAAAACAATGGGATGTTATTGTGTAAACAGAAGGATTTCTTTTCGAAACACAGTTGTATATAGACATTTACATACACCTATATGAAAGCAAATACAAAAGAAAATAACAGCATACATTATAACCCAACTGTCAACAGGATTAAACGATAACACGATGATGACTAACTGACTGAATAGTTATTGTTGATTTTACTGACGCGTCACCGGTCTTTGTTAAAGAATAAAATAATAATGATGAGAAATAGTTTTCATTATTTAACTTCGTTCATGATAGGGAATGTGTTGATTGAAATGGTTATTTTTTAGAGTATTCAATAGAGAAATCATTAAATTCATGTTTAGTTACAATCTGTGATGTTCTATTAGATTTTATCTCTTATCTCATCTCTGTAATAGACATATATGTTTGTTACAATTTATGGAAAACAGAGGACGGGTTTGACTTTCTTGTTACAAACTTCAAATTTTGTTCCAAAAAAAAATCAAATACGATATTAAATTAGTGTGTAGAGTCAATCAAGCACAAGACTCGAGAGTATTATTTTCTATCAGACTTATAGAAAAGTCTGAAAAAGAGTGATTCGCGTCATTTCTTTTTCAATACATCATCAACATCAAAACACATTTTTAAGAGAGAGAATCTGTCAGTTCATCATACAATGAGACTGGAGAAATATTTTTGATCTTGGATTTAGTTACCTCAAAACAAAAACATTGTAGAGATAGTACTATATCCAAAAAAAGTCAGCTAGATGTAGTAATCTATTGCTGAATTATGAGACCCACGATGATGGTAGACTTTAAACAGGTGTAAGAAAAATAGTGATTCTTTCGCACTTTTTTTTATATACTACAAAATGACTTTATTCCTTCATGAAGTTTTTCTTCTTTCAGATTATGTGTTTTTCCATCATGAAAAATAAGATTTTCTTTCATCCTTTTTTTAAAAGCTTTCTGACTGGTGATATCTGAAATAGAAGGTCAACCAAAAATTTCATGACAATAGGAGAAAGCTCGTGAAAAATCGCGCCTTGTAACTTAAAACAGTCGGAAAAAAGACCAGGAACTTATTCAACTTGTTTGAATAAAGACTATGACTATATTTTTACTGTTTATTCAAGTTTATTTTCATTATTTTTTCTAGTTCAATCATTTGTTCATTCACAATTTAACTTAAAATTTTACTCACTAGGCATAACTCTAATAAGTAAAATATAAAAGATTCATGTGTGATGATGAATTCCATGCTTACAAAGATGACTTTCCTCTACAGTTTTAAATTATACAAATATATGACAGGTGTTTAACGATAAACGAGAGAGCAAAACATTTGAGACTATTTTAGCTCAATTAGAAAACAAGGATTACTTGATGTGAAATTTTGAGTATCGATAAAGTGCAAGGTCAGTAGTCATTCCTCAATAGTATGAATGGTTTTAAATTAATACAAAAATTTGATAATGAATAGTTTAGCATGCTTTCTACATAGGATTCTCTGTAGACTATAGCTTGTTATTGTTGTATATCTCTGATCTCTACTATTAAATTCAGAATTGAAACGATGTTTTTTTAGCACCAATAGCTGTTATAAAGAGTTACAAAATTTCTTAAATAGGAGTCTATAAAAGATCTATTTTCTGTACTTTATCTAAGACATACTAACAATAATATAGTAAAGATTCCTTACAGCAAAGCTTGTACATCTATCATCTGTGCTGATGTATGAAGGAAAGATATGATACTTCGAGCGTCTATACTACACATCAACAGTTGTGGGAATGGTAGATCAGAGGTTTGAGAAAATATATCCGTTATTATAAGGCGATGACATATGACGGAAACTGTAAAAAAAGAATGCTTTTCAAATACATCTTCTGTTGCTAATTTCTCAAATAATATACATAGGGATAAACATTTTTACTTTATAGAAAAGAATTCAAATGATAGAATTCTTAAAAAATATATTATATATATTTTGCTTTTTCGAGAGAACAGATAGCATTTTTGAGGTTTGATTTCTTTTATTGCCCGTTGTAGCATGCCTTGAAGCGAATTAGGATAACAATATTTTTATCGAACATTGTGTCAGAACTGTGATTTATTTGAAAAATTTTTCAAAACCTTTTTCTTTTTAATTCATAAACGCTTACACAGACGTTTCGTAAATGATGTTGGGTTAATCAGACTATATAACACAATACACTACACATACATATATATATGTATATATTATTAATATGTGCACATACATATTATCTATTTTCTTTCTTGCTTATTTACGTATTGACAGCAGAAGGAAACAGGCGGCAATATGGAACGAAACTATATAGTTTTTTCATTCATTCCATAGTCAACGATAGAGAAGAAAAAAAGAAAAAATAATGCATTGTAGAAAAAGACTATATGGGTAAATATTTATATATACTTATGGATTGCATTGTATGATTTGATGAACTCAACATCGTTCTTGAAACGTTAATGTAAATATTTATAAATAAATCAAAAATAATAAGATTTTAAATAAATTATTAAACAATTCAAATGACCTTTCATAATGCTTATCAATTGATAACAGTAGTATATAAGATGTCTGATTGTAATTATTCGGACACATTCTTTCTTGTCCATGTAAAAAAAGACGAAACTCAATAATTGTCTCTTAATACAACACAGTGATGAAATTAGTATTCATCTGAAGTATACAATTTTAAATAGGACCCAATGTAGAAATTAAAAAATACACAAAAGAAAAAATTTGAACGTACGATGATACCGTAACTTTATGAAACAATCCTGATAAAATCAAAAGCTACAACGACAGTACACGAAAATAAATATGAACACAAGCTATTAAATAAATCTGCGATATGATTAGAAATTCGATAGCATACTATGTTCGCCGAAAGGCATTTTTCAAGGATTAATAGATAACATAGATTTACTAATCAGAATTGGTTTTTTTTTGTTTATAAATGATAGCAAACAGAGGTGCCTTTTAATAACCATCGATTGACAGTTCTCATTTTTCAGCTAGCTATGGTTTCAGAAATGCCAATTTCTCTATGTGTCATGTAAAAGGTCATCTACAAATGACACATTGGAATTTGCCTTTCTTACAGTTTCGGTGATCTGTCGTCACCTTATGATCACGGGTATGCTCTTTCGAACCTATGATCTATCATTTCTGTAACTGTTAATGTGTAATATAAACACGCGAAATATCGTATCTTTCCTTCATATATCAGTAGAAATGATAGATGTACAAGCTTTCCTATAAGCAATCTTTAACATATTATCGATAGTATGCCTTAGGTAAAAGACAAATGACAAATAACTCCTATTTACGTAATTTTCCAGCTCTTCATAAAAGCTATTGGTGCTAAAAGAACATCGTTTCAATTCTGAATTTAATAGTAGAAATCAGAGATATACAACAATAAAACACTATAGTCCACAAAGAATCCTATGTAGAAAAAATACTAAACTATTCATTATCAAATGTTTGTATTAACTCAAGACCATTCATACAATTGAGGAATGACTACTGACCTTGCACTTTATCGATACTCAAAATTTCACATCAAGTGATCCTTGTTTTCTAATTGAGCTAAAATAGTCTCAAATGTTTTGCTCTCTCGTTTATCGTTAAACACCTGTCATATATTTGTATAATTTAAAACTGTAGAGGAAAGTCATCTTTGTAAGCATGGAATTCATCATCACACATGAGTGTTTTTTATTTTACTTATTAGAGTTATGCTTAGTAAGTTAAATTTTAAGTTAAATTTTGAATGAACAAATGATTGAACTGGAAAAAATAATGAAAATAAACTTGAATAAACAATAAAAATATAGTCATAGTCTTTATTCAAACAAGTTGAATAAGTTCCTGGTCTTTTTTCCGATTGTTTTAAGTTACAAGGCGCGATTTTTCACGAGCTTTCTCCATTTGTCATGAACTTTCTGGATGACCTCCAATTTTTAATCTGACAAGTCAAAAAACCCTTTAAAAAATATTAAAAAATACGTTGATTTTTCATGAAGCAAAAACATTTTATTCTATCTGTAAGAGGTCTTTCTTTTAAAATAATTATACGCTAAATCGAAAGTCTTTTTTCAGTCAGATGTTTAAGTCCCACTTGGTTTTGTGAAGAGCTCTCTCTATTTAACATCGAATTATGTAATCAGCGATCCAAAAGTCTTTCAAAAAATGTTCAACACTAGGTCGGACTAGCGGACACATGCTCATATGAACATTCTGCTATCAGCTGATAGCTTGTTCAGTCCTTTTCCTAACGATATTCGATAAATTGTTACTTATCGTTCATAACAAAAATGTGAAACCACAAAATATCAGTCTCAAAGTGGTCGTCCAGTAAAAATCATCCGATAAGACTTTCAATGATCTAATGAAATCGGTAAAGGATTGCGGTGGCCTAATTCAACGTAAAGTATCACAACAATTTCAGATGCACCAGTTACTATTAGAAAGCGTTGAAAAGCTCCAAAAATGAAAAGTGAACAGCAACGAATTCGAGAATGAAAAAAGTGTGGTAATAGTATATCTGAAATTGTTAAATGATTGTGATTTACTTATGAACAGTTAAAAATATTGCAAAATGATCCAAAAAAATGTCATCAAAAATCACGATTTCTATTCAACCGATTCAGCTACAATTACTCCGAATATCAAGCTTCAACAAGGAGCAAAGTTTGAATTACAAGTAATGATTTGAATGAATATATTCACAAAAGCAAACATGATGTCAATCAAGAAA